TGTCAAATGTATCAACATGTCACAGTCGTTATTCATATGACCCTGTAGTCCAATGAGTCAACATGTCGAAATCGTTATACGTATGACACTGTAGTCCAGTGAGTAAAGATGTCACAGTCGTTATTCATATGACCCTGTAGTCCAATGAGTCAACATGTCGAAATCGTTATACGTATGACACTGTAGTCCAGTGAGTAAAGATGTCACAGTCGTTATTCATATGACCCTGTAGTCCAATGAGTCAACATGTCGAAATCGTTATACGTATGACACTGTAGTCCAATGAGTCAACTTTTCATGGTCGTTATTCATATGACACTATAGTCCAAAATGCCAACATGTCACTGTCGTTATTCGTATGACCCTGTAATCTAAAATATCAACTAGTCACTGTCGTTATTCGTATTACTACGACAAGAAAATTTAACGACTGGCATATGAAACAGACTGTGTTATCGTAAATATAAAAAAAATATAAACATAGCTTCAAGCGATGTTAACGTAAATAAACCTGTTTTGTTATGTTGAATGCTATGAACAACCAAATATTCACGACAGGAATGGTTAGAATATATGCGGTAATGCAGCTGTATTTAATGCGTTATTTTATTCCATAACATGAGCCGGCAATGCGCACCGAATTTTATACAAAGCTGTCTCAGTATCCTCCACCTTCTACTAGCGCCCTCTATAATGTTTAATATCATTGCAAAGTATATGTGCTAAATTGTCTGTTTTCACGTATGCTCGTAATGTATTCACAATGTCAAGTTTCGATGGAAACAAAATTTCATTGTATCACGGAATATGACAACGTTATATATAATAAGGTACTCCGATGTGTCTCTTGTTATTGTAATTGTATTGAACATAGGAACAATAATGATTGAAATCGACTTTAACCTGCCAGGTCGCCCTATTTAAGTTCTAAGTGTCGAATATAATAATTGTCGAGAGAATATCACAAACAACAAGTGCTGAATTGCTTATCTATTCTTCAAGCACTCTGAAACAATTATATTATCTTCGTTTAACTAAATTTGCATAAACTTTTGTGTGGCGTTAATCGAATAGCACATTGAGGTAGGTAAGCCGTGGCTGAAAATAGAACAGGTTGATGACTACGTGAGATAATACGCTATGCTTCTCAAATAATGAATTACTTATTATAAGGAAATACATAATTTGGTTACCTAGGACAGACTATCCGAATTTATCTACCACTGAGCATGTTGATTTTATGAAGGTCGACATATATAGTACAGCAGCTAGTTCTTTCCAATTGCACGAAAGATTGCCTTTCAGCTAAAATTATACACACCTCTCATAGAATACGATGTTAAAATGTTAAGCAAATGTGCAACAGGTGTGTAGATATTTATTTTTAATTGCGTTTTTTTTTATAATTCGATATTTGATTGTGAGCGAGTAATGTTGAATTGCGCCCTCTATTTATATTTAGTATAAATTCTATGACACTGTATGCAGTTGTGAGCCGAGAAATAACAACATAAATAAAACATAATCATTTTGAATGATTTATATGTAATATTATACACCGATGTGCCTCTTTTTATTATGATAATTTTATTGAACATAGAAACCATCATGATTAAAATGAACTTTAGCCTGCCAGGTCGCCCTATTTAAGTTCTAAGTGTCGAATATGATAATTATGGAGTGCATATCATAAACAACATTTATTTACGTTGTGAAAATTAATA